ATAAATAAAAATGACAGGTACTGTAAAATTAAGAAAGAATTCCAGGAGTTTAACGTAAAAAGGAGGTTAATAATTGAAAGAAATAGTTCAATAACGAAATATATAATAGTAGAAGGAAAGATCGAACGAAAGTCGGAGAATGTTTGTGCACGAGGCGCAGCAAGATTTACGATTTTTCCGAACATTCTAATATTTGTAATATTTGTTGATTATTTATATGGAGCACAAGAATGAACGGTTGTAAGTATTGTTATATTGTATACGTATATATTATGTATATTATGACAGATCAAAATTATAGTTATACATGTGACCATCGCATATTAATTATTTCCTATTTTTAATAGAGTTCACGTCCATGGTACAGTACATAATTTAAATTCATTTATTAACGATATATAAATAAAGATGACGGTAACACACGAACACTAACACAAGCAGGGAAAAAGTGTTTGAGGGGAAGAGGGGGGAAATCAAAAGAAAAAATGATCAACGGTTGGACAAACCAAAAAATCCAAACTGAAAATAACCGCGTGATAATAATGAATTTCCTCAAGGGGTGACATTGTCGTCGCTCACATTGATGCAAAAAGTTGGAAAGAAGAATGGGTTGGCAAAGAGGGCACGTTGTTACTTTGTGAAACGAAAGAAAAAATAGCAAGGCGCAGTAAATAAGATCCAGAGTCACACGGCGTATCTTTTTAACAAATATGCGGGGCAAGTGGGCCAAATTCCTTTATTGGGAAATAAGACTGTTTTGCTGTTTTCCACCTTGTAACGCTTTTAACTCTTTTTTGCTTTGTAACACTCGTGATATCACATTATTTTTAAATTTTCACGGTATTTGGTTTATATAAGTGTATAATTAGTATATGTGTACAATAAAATTGTATACGTATAGTGAATGTGAATAGTGTGAAATGTATACATTTAGTGTATACAATAAATGTATACTGTATACACTCACTATATATACTCCTGTATACGTCCACTGCATATACTCATTGTACACCTACCGCATACTCAACTGTATGCAGTGAGTGTATACAGTGAGTGTGTGTGGCATGTACATCTTATACATCTTATGTTTGTAATTTATAGAAATGAATAATCTTGATTAAAGTCAAATTGGAAAATATGAGAAACACAACATATTAAAAAAAAGTTCTAATTCTAGTTTGACGCCCTCCGTAAACCTGCTTTGTTTTTTTTTTTTTTTGTCACAGTTTTGTGCAGGAGAAAAAAAGAGTTTATTATTTATACTAAATATTTACACAAATTTGCAGTATTGTTTTATAGAACGACGAGCGGTCTAAAACCAGAAATTTATTTCAACATTACGATACAATTAAGAAACGATCGAAAAAAGCGCATTTAGGATGGAGGTTATTTTTAAAAGGCTATTTAAAGAGAAACTATCTAAAGCTTGTTAACTATAAGAGTATAATGAAGGTAATTACGCGCATTCTCGGTGGAGTCTAAACTATAATTCTGTAATTACCGTTACGCATATCCATTACTTCAAGCTGCTACAGAGTCTAAACCGTAATCGGCAACCCGCTGCTGTAATTTCCGCATTCAAAATGATTGATTGATAATGTAATGTACGTTAAATGTAGATTGTGAAATGTAAAGCGTATGCTGTTAATTTTTTTTCCTTTGTGCGGCTCATGCGGGGCCTTCAAGTGCATTACATACTGTATTTTGGAAATTCGCTTTAACTTCCGCAGTTGTAGTCAGTTAAGCTTAACATTATTATATATAAATATTTTGAAATTCATTTTTCATTATTTAAATATTTTTCGTTATTATTTGATATTTTATATAATTATTTGATATTTTTCTGTAGATATTTTCTATACTTCGACATCTTTAATATTTGTGATGAATGAATTCTAATTCTAACATAACAAAGAATGATCGTTCCAGATTTTAATAATATCAGATATCGATATTACGGTATTAATTACAATATTTTTAATAGTTATTTTTCGTTGTTGTCGTTATTTAATATCGCTATTAATATAGTTATTATAATATCGTTGTAACCACTATTGACCGATTTTTTTTTTTTTTTTTTTTATCAATCTTCTCAATACAGTATAAAATATATATACAATAATATATATACAATAATATACTCGAATAATACACACATAATTACTTGAATAGTTTATTAAAGTATTTTTATTTATTTATTTATTTATAATATGTAAGTAAATATGTAAGGTGAATAAACATAAACTATTAAAATTCGGTGTACGTTAAATGATACAGTTTGATACAGTAAATTATAGTAAATTATATACAGTGCAGCAGATAATAATAAATAAAAGTACGTTTTTACATACATGTATACTATGATTAGCATAAATGGTTTAAAGTAAAGATGTTTAACTAAGTTCACATAGTCTTGATACGGTTGATTATTTTTTTTTTTTTTTTCTCTCTTGTGTTTCCAAAAGATAGCCCATATATGCAGTGACACTGCAGCCTACTTTTACGATTAATACCACGCCATTTTCATATTTTTTAATCTTGATACAATATACTTTAAAATTTATTAAACTAATAAAATATATTTATGTATTTTAAAATTGTTTATTTTAAGTCCCGTATATAAATTTTGATTACTTGAATAAAATAAATTCAACTATTTTTTTTTTTTTTTTTTTTTTAACTGTACTTTAAATCTTTTTTTTTATGTTGAGAATGTTAGACCTTTTTTTTATAAGTTGACTTTCTAGTTTTCTGTAAAAATTCAAAAGTTTGTGTTGTGCGTTGTTATTTCTCTATATTTTCTACTTGTGAAAAATTTTTTATTCTCTTTGTCTTTTGAAATGCCAAAAACTTTTCTTCTAAAGCTTTCTTTGAATACTTAAAAAGAATATATACTTAAAAGAGTATATATATAATATATATAAACATTTTTTTTTATACTAAATATCTACATTAAAATTTTCTTTCTCTGTATTTGTACACGCACAATATAAAAGAAAAAAATGAACTCACGTAAAGCTTCGATATCTCATGTTATGAACGATAGTTCTGCTGCTGCTTCTTCCTCGGACCATCACCTTTCTTCAAACTCTGGTCATAGTCTGAGGAACCTACTTTCTGATGACGGCCCTCCCCAACAACACGCGTCTTCTCAGCAACAGTACCACCACAGTGCCGGTAATAACAGTGGTCTAAGTAATGGTACTTATGGGGGTTATCCGAACGAACAAGGAAGAGATTATTATTCCCATGTACAGCAGCAGCAACCTGTTCATAATCAACCTCTTTCTTCACTTGAACAAAATAATCGTCCATCATATGATGTTTCTGCTGACGCTGATGAAGCTAGTAAAACTCTGATTCTTCTATCACAACGTCCTTCTTCTTCCCATTACGGATCATCAAGAGATCATTATTCCTCTAAAGATAATACCCAACAGATATCTGACGTTGAAATAGCCGCTTCTGCTATTTCTTCTTTATCTCATTCTCCAGATGATACAAAATCAATTCATCCTCAGATAAATGTGAGTCTTGATTCTCCATTATTTTCTATAAGAATACTTTTCTTTCCCGTGGATCTTTTTCTAAATCTAATATTTAATCTTTTGATATCATGGTTATGTAGCAAAGAACTAGAGCAAAGAATTCTATGGCTATCTCTTCGTTAATATCAGGTTAGGTTAATTCTAGTTTTCTTTGCTCTCTTAGTTCTTTATAATTTTATTAATTCTTTTTTCTCAATTGATCTAGGCGATGAGTCGACTTCTTCAGATCCTATTCAATCGTTGCAAGCGACTCCTACCTCAACAGTTAGTATTTTTTCTTTTCCATTTAATCTTTGATTTTTTGTTCGCATCTCCTAATATTTTCGTTTCCGTTCCTTTTAGCAGGATACAGCGCAGAGATATTACCCACATCACCATCATCATGAACATCATGACCAATATACTGATGAAATTAGAAACGGTGACATACCTTCTCATCATCATCATCATCATCATCATAGTCATCACCATCATCATAATCAGGCTCAAAATCAACAAAATGTAGACTTTAATTCTTATAATGCAAATAATAATGGTAATGGCAGGAAATCTGCCAAGCGTCCTTTGGTAATTATTCTATTTTATTCATTAAAAAAAATATAAAATAATTATATTGTTTTACTTAATACTCACGTGATTTTAACCTCCTAGAATGGTTCACCAAGTCTACCCATTGCAAAGGGATTTTCGAAAAAGAGTCCGCAGAAACGACGGCCATCTGATCCGAACGAGAATTGTATGTGCTATTTTAGTTGGATTCGATTTCGATTTATTGATTTTCAAATATGTTTCCACCTGACTCTTCATGTATCTTTGATCAGCTCAAAGAAAGATACACCGTTCTCCAGATCATATGCCTTATCCATCAGGTGGTCAAAAGTATTCTGATTTACGTGAGCATCCTGTAGAAGAGCAAAAACCGCCGATTCATTTGGTTCCTGTTTCACAAGGTTGTCATAATTATAATTAAATTAATTGATTAATTAATTAATTAAATTATGATTAAAATTTTATTAATTCATTTTTTTCTTTATTATAATAAAATATAAATATAGGAGGTCCAACCAATTCAATGGAATGGGATCATCAGATGCCACCACAACAATATAATCAATCTAGATCTTTACATAACGTTCCACCGACTGATCATCCAGGTCGTTTTCAACCAAAAATCAATGGTTCACCACCGATGCCTGCTGATAAATCTATGAACATTAAACCTCATTACGCAATGAATCCGAATGAAAGGACTCTGACAAAAACGTCTCCTCCAATTCATCCTTCAAACGGTTATGTTCCAGGTGTTGGTGTAGATGGTATAGTTGGAAATCCGGTTAGTATTTATTTTAATATAAAATTCGATAACATACCTTAATACGTTTTTCTACTATTGTCTTCAAAATACAGTACATTCCACTAGTGCCAACATTTATAATTTTAATTTATCATCTTTAATTTATAATTTATAGGATATACCACAACCAGCACCACATCAGCCTATTACACAATCAATACCTCAACAAAATGGACAAATTCGTCCACAATCATCAAATACTAATTTTTGTAGAATGTATAATGATATGGTACGTTAATCAAGTTTTCTTAATTACAAACCGGCTTTTCATTATGAGGTGTGGTTACGTGATCTATAAATTCATTTTTGCAACAGCAGAAGCATAATACTAAAAAAAAACGGAATGCCAGTCATGCTTATATTTCGTACATGATTTATACAAAGGTCCGTAATTCTTTACCATAAATTCCTCATATTTATTAGTGGGAAATTATATTATCAAAATTTGTACGTGTGCAATTTTACTAAATTGTAATATCTGTCTTTTTTTTATCGATTACTCTTGCGTTTCTTTATGCGCATCCGTTTGATTTATATTGAACTCTTTTAGTCCCTTCAAGATGGTAGTGATAACGTTAGGAGTAAAGAATATAATTTACCTCCAAACAACTTACCTAATCGTCCACTGATACCAGAAAGTTCTCCCCCCATGAATAATGAACATGGAATGGTAAATCCGGCAATAGTTCATCATCATCCACCGCCAGTTAATGGTAGTATATACCCTCCCCGTGTGGATCATCCCGGATATCCATTACAACAGAGTAATCCTGGGTATATACATCCTGAGGCGAATCCACAAAGTGTGCAGCCTCGTCGTGTTTCGGATTCTCCAATGCATCCACAACCAAATTCAAGTTCAATTTCTCTGTCACGTGGCTACTCTCACCACGGGCCTCCCGTGCCAGAGCCACAACCACCGCATACTTCACATCGACATTCGATTGGTTCTCACCATACTTCTCCTAGTTTATTACCTACTCATATTCAATCACAGAATCATTCCATTAGACATAATCCATCTATGCCAAATCTTCATTCTTCAATGGCTTCTGATCCTCAACACCGAACTCCTCCATCTCCTTTATCTCGGTCAGGGAGCGTTCCTCGTCAACCACAAACGACCCTGCCTCCATTGCAATCGTCTCCTCATTCACAAACTTTGCATCATCATCATCCTACTCCACACCATGTTCATCATTATTCTCAAGATCATCAATCACACCATAGTCACACTCATCATCCTCATGTACATCAGGGGCATCATTATCATCAACCACACTCAAGTCAACCTTCATATATGTCTCAACCTCCTCCTACACAGGGTCCTTCTCCTCATATATATAATGGTAAATCTTCACCTTCACTAATACCGCCACAATCTCCAGCTATGAATCATTATCATGGCTCACAACCAGGTTTAGTTTCGCAAAATGGGTCACGCTTACCACCCGTAGGATCTCATCATCATAGCTCGCAACCTCCTGAACCAGTTGGTCCATCAAATAGTAGCCCACATCAAATTTTAAGTCAACCGTTAACCAACTTTTTACGGGATCAACCTAATGCATACGGTAGTGCACATCCACATAATATACAACCAAATGGTTTAAGCCCAGTTGGTCCACCACCACATGTAGGTCCATTAAATAGTGGTCCCAGAAGTGCTAATGGTTATTATTGATTAATAATATTAA